ATTTTTATTTTTAAAATTTTTTAGTGTTGACGGACCTTTATTTTATTCATTTATTTATATTCGGTTCTGAGAATTGAACCCAGTGCTTCACACATGTGAGGCAAGCACTCTACCACTGAGCCACAACCCCAGCCCCAAGTAATATTTTTAAAATATCTACTGTTGATTGTTATAGGCACTAAAGTAAAATCAATAAGAACACAAACTGACTTTTATGCAACAAAATCTATGAAGATGGATTCTAAGATACGACATYCCATTACTACACCACCTCATGGTGATCAGCAATATTTGTTCAGCCCAAGCAGAGAAATGCCTACTCTTTCAGGTACACTGGAAGGTCATCTAATTCCTATGGCAATTCTTTTAGGTAAGAACCAACAAAATATGTAGGTGAATTTTAATTTTTTAATCAGAACTGTTATTGAAACTATAGTCACTTGCCTTTTCCTGTATGTGTTGTTTTTAGATGTGGAGAGGGCCTCAGTATCTTCTGCTATATAATAGCAATCTGAAATAAGGGATTCCTGCCATAGTTTCACTCACAGGAAACTTTTTTTATTCTTTTGACATTTGATAGTACATGTCATAGATGAAGTGAAACTTTATAATATGTCTATATATGTAATTGACATTCATAATAATTCAAGAATTAGGAAACCTGATTGACTTGTTAATTTTGTTATGTTTTTAAAGTACTTTAAAGCACTTTTATATACTTTTGTACTAGGCTGGGATAAGTAGAAGTCATGTAATTATGTATTATAAGCTGATAGTTGTTATTTACTTATTTGAGGTTTCTGGTCATCATGTTAAAATTGAACAAATAATTTTTGCTGTTCAAATCTAATTAGCTTTCTTTTTTTCTTTTGGTGCCATTGCCATTTTGTCTTAATTTTGATGGATGATTTTAATATGAAATTTTTAAATATAAGAGTTATTTATTTTTTATGGTGCTGGACATTGAACTCAGGGTCTTGTGTATGCTAGGCAAGTGCTCTAACTTTGAGCTGTATTCCCAGCCCAAGAATATTTTTGATGTTATGGTTAATGACATGTCAACTTGACAGCTAACGTGTGTTTAAACATGCCTTCTAGTATAATAATAACTAACATTTTTAAAGCTTAAGCCCTTTATATATGTTCATTTAMCACAACAAATAGAGCACTTAGTGTAATATACCAGTTTTATAGGTAAAAAACCTAGGTACAAAGGGGCTAAGTAGTAATTTGTCAAAGACTATACAGGTGGAGTGGAGCTAGGATTCAAATCCAAGCATTCTACTTCAGAGTTTGTGCTTTTAATGAGTATATCATACTCTCTCTTAACGTAGAAATGTAGAAAACAAGTGGGATTTTGAAAGGAAAGCTGAGAAATTTGGGACAATATGTCATAATATTTGTGGTAATATTAGTGCCTAGCAGACTTTGTTTTGAGAATTAAATTAAATAGTACATCTAAAGTGGTTAATGCTAATAAGTATCCCCACTGCTAAAAGAATGACATGGCATTTAGACAGTGGTGATGATGGAGGGAGATGAGTGCTTTCCTTTCGTGCAAGAAAATAGCCATAAAATCCAGACAGTGGGTTGTTTCTTTATTTTTTGAAACAATTGACTTTAGTTTTTTCCCCTAAACTTCTTAGGACAAACCCAAAGTAATAGTGATTCCATGAGGCCTACTGGAGTAATGGTAAACAAGCCACACCCTATAACTGTGACAACTTCTATTCCTCCATCATTTCGAAAATCAGAAAYTGGGATAAAGAAACCCAACATAGCAGTTGTGGAAATGAAGTCAGAAAAAAAAGATCCTCCTCAACTTTCTGTACAGGTATGCCACAGTACATGAGCAGAAAATTTTAAGGCAAAATCTTTGGCTTAATATGTACTTATAATCCATTATAATACTTCATGAGAACTTTCATCATGGCTCCTTCATTCTTTAAAATTGTGATGTTAATATGATGTCCCTATCCTTGTTGTGTATGATTTAAACTACTTTTAGGCCAATGACTTGTATACAGGTGACTTGACAGTATCCGGAGGGAACAATTGAGTAGTATATTATAATTAATTTAAAAAGAATGTTGAGATTTATATAATACTTCAAACTTTATGCAAATATATAAGAAAAGTTGAATGAATGTAAATATAACTTTCTTTTTGTGGCACCAGGGATGGAACTCAGGGCCTCATACATGCTAGGTAAGCACTCTATCACTAAACTATATCCCCAACCCTTTTTTTCCTCACAGTGTTTGGGATCAAATCCAGAGTCTCATGCATGGCTTGCAAATGCCCTACCCTTCCCAAGCCCTTCTTATTTTGTTTTGAGACAGGTTCTCCTTAAATTGCCCAAGCTGGCATCAAAATTAAGGTCYTTCTACCTCAACCTCCTGAATCACTGGGATTATAGGTGTTTGCTACCACTCCTTGCTAGATAGAACTTATTTTTATATTCAAGTTATTGATTCTCTTCAATTTAATGTATAATTTTAGTGAAATTCTAATTTAAAAAATACTCATGATTTTTTTCTTTCTTGAACCATAGGATCATCATTTGGATATCTGAAACAATAAAGGGTTTAGAAAAGTTAAATGTTCGAGTACTGATTCAATATAACAAGACTTCAGAATTAGCCTTGGGTATTTAAAAATAATGTAATGTGATAGAGACTTCATTAATCAGTGGGAAATAGAATTCATGTGACTAAAGCAATGCACTTATAAATGACTTAACTCAATTTTAGAGTTTGAATTCCTATTGCAACTAGCAATTGAGTTCTGAATAACCAGACAGCTAAAGTTTAATTACATAATATAAAAAAAAATCAGAATTTTTACAAAGCTGAAGCTAAGTATAGCTAGATATGAGGGAAAAAAAACCCTAGATATGATAGAAAATTAGATTTGAATCTGTAAAATCTAAAGGTTTTATATTTTTAAAAACATCTAAATAAAAAATAAAAAGGAAAACAACATACAGTGAAAACATATGAAAAGAAAATAGTAGTGAATAATTAATTAAAAAATATAAAGACCTTTATAAATCAATAAGAAAACATATAGGTCTAAATCCTGAAATATTCAAAGGCTATGAATAAGAGTCTACAAAGGATGAAATACAGCTAATCATCAAGGAAATTAAATTTTGCTAATAGCCAAGATAATGCAAAATAAAATAATAATACACTTAACTGTTACTAAGCCGGGCATCGTGGTGCCCACTTATAATCCCAGTGGTTGGAAGGCTGACGCAGGAAGATCACAGGTTTGAWGCCAGCCTCAGCAATGTAGCCAGGRGGCTGTAAGGAACCTAGTGAGGTCCTGTCTCTAAATTAAAAATAAAAAGGGTTGGGGATGAGTGGTAGGGTACAGAGGTGGGGTTACTCAGAAAGTGACACGTGACTTCCACTGTTGCCCAGTCCCCTCCAGAGGGGATGAGGACCCTGGCCCTCTGTCTGCCACCATACCAACAGCAGCACCAGGTCTGTGTGTCACAGGACCAGCTCATGCCCTCAGCAGAGCAGCTGGAAGCAGTGCTCCCACCAGCACACTCTCTGGCCCAGCCACCAGCCAGGTCTCACTATGGTAAGGATGAGTGACAGGTTGAGTTCAAAGTCCTCCAAGCATCAATGAATAAATAAATATGAGGATGGGCCCCTAAGCTCCTGCCTCAGAGGTGTGCACAACCCACCCAACCCCTAGGAGACTACAATGCAGTATTTCTGTTCAAGTTGTGAAATACACATAAACACACACACACACACACACACACACACACACGCATGCATGCGCGCTAGAAAGGGCTGGGGATGCGGCTTAGTTGTTAAGTGCCCTTGATCCCCAGTACCAAAAAATAAAATAAAATAAAAAACCGTTACCAAATAAGCAATCTTATTATCTAACTTTTGTTGAAAGTTGGATAAAACTTGGGATTAATTAAATTTGAATTATGTAAATAGAGATTGTTTTGATTGCATTTGCCAGTAATTGCTAAGAATCTGAAATATTTATGTCCTGAGGCCCAAGAAGTTATTAATCTGATAGCAAAGTTTAGGAAGAAAAGCCTGTGTGTGTGTGTGTGTGTGTGTGTGTGTGTATGTGTATAAGTTTTTTTGTGGTGATTTTTGTATAATCATGGAAAAGTTGGAAATACCCTAAATGTTTATCAATAGGAATGTAATTAAAATAATTAAGGTATTTATATTTGTTGAAAAATTAAAATATAAAAATATAAAGTCCATACAGAGGCATGATAAGGTGTTTATGATCTAATAGTGAAAAATCAGAAATGAAAACTATTTTAGATTTACCTATGGATATATCTATAGATAAATCTATATATAAATATAAAATAGGTAAATATAAAAGGACAAAGAATATAGTAGTAAAATGGAGTTGGCTTAAGATAGAATTTTCTGTTTCCTCCTTTACTTTTTATATTTTATAAAATAAGCTTTCATAATTTAAAAAGTTTGTTAGCCATTGACTTTACAATAAAAATTTAGAGGGCACATTTTCTATCTAGCTTTTTGAAGAATATTTGAGTCAGAATGATGCGGAAAATTAGATGTTGTGTTCTGTTGTAGGTATTACCCAGTGTAGACATTGACAGCATTTCAAATGGTAGTGTTGATGGTGGTTCATCTCTGTCAAGTCCCAAAGAAGCCTCTCTTCCTCAGCTGCAGACTTGGATTCAGGTATATTTCAGAATTCTATCACTGTTTTGAGTAATGTCTGAGTGTAGGTTTTATTCCATGCAAAAGCATTCTATCATAATCATAATCTATTATAATTAGATTTTTTTGAAGAAAAGATTCAGAATAAATCTCAAATTGTTTATGAACTTGAAAGAAAATTTGTTTTAGATCCTTACGTTTGTAAGTATTCAGAAAGTAATAATCCGTACTATAACATTTTAAAAAAATATTTATTTATTTATTTTTGCATTACAATTCTTAATACACCATTATATCATAATTTATCATAACTCCGATTATATATAAGGTATGTTGACACCAAATTCACATCTTCATACATGTATTTTGAATATGAGGGTCTCCTTTCACTATCTATGCTATTCYCCTTCTCCCTCCCTTTCCCTCCCACCCCTATTCCCTATCTAGAGGTAATCTTCCTCCCTTGCTCTCCCTCCCAACCCCATTTTGAGATACCCCCCTTATATCAGAGAAGACATTCGGCATTTATTTTTTGGGTATTGGCTAACTTCACTTAGCATAATCTTCTCTAATGCCATCCATTTCCCTGCAAATGCCATGATCTTATTCTTTTTTATTGCTGAGTAATATTCCATTGTGTATGAATGCCACATTTTTTTTTTATCCTCATCTACTGAAGGACATCTAGGTTGGCTCCACAGTTTAACTATTGTGAATTGTGCTGCTATAAACATTGATGTGGCTGTGTCCCTGTAATATGCTGTTTTTAGGTCCTTTGGGTATAGTATGAGAAGAGGAATAGCTGGGTCAAATGGTGATTCCATTCCCAGTTTTCCAAGGAATTTCCATACTGCTTTCCAAATTGGCTGCACCAATTTGCAGTCCCACCAGTAGTGTATGAGTGTACCCCCCCATCCTCGCCAGCACTTGTTGTTTGTCTTCATAATGGCTGCCACTCTTGCTGGAGTGAGATGTTATCTTAGAATAGTTTTAATTTGCATTTCTCTGATTGCTAGAGATGATGAGCATTTTTTTGTATATTTGTTGATTGATTATATATCCTCTTCTGAGAAGTGTCTGTTCAGGTCCTTGGCCCATTTATTGATTGGATTATTTGTTTTTTGGGGTGCTTGTCTTGTTGAACTCTTTATATACCCTAGAGATTAGAGCTCTAACTGATGTGTGAGGGGTAAAAATTTGTCCCCAGGATGTAGGCTTCCTATTCACCTCACATATTATTTCTTTTGCTGAGAAAAAACTTTTTAATTTGAATCTATCCCATTTTTTGATTCTTGGTTTTAATTCTTGTGCTATAGGAGTCTTATTAAGGAGGTTGGGGCCTAGCCCCACATGATGGAGTTTAGGGCTTACTTTTTCTTCTATTAGACGCAGAGTCTCTGGTTTAATCCCTAGATCCTTGATCCATTTTGAGTTAACTTTTGTGCATGGTGCGAGATAGGGGTTCAGTTTCATTTTGTTGCATATGGATTTCCAGTTTTCCCAGCACTTTGTTGAAGATGCTATCCTTTCTCCAATGCACGCTTTTGGCACCTTTATCTAATATAAGATAGTTGTATATTTATGGTTAGTCTCTGTGTCTTCTATTCTATCCCATTGGTCTACTAGATCCTTACATTTGTAAGTATTCAGAAAGTAATAATCCGTACAATAACTTTTTGATAACTTGTGAGACTCTCATATAAATAAAGAATTTCTCTTTGGTAAAGAATCTTTGATTTACAGGAAATTATAKATTTCCTTAATATGAATTATCTAGTGACAATTGGAGTTTATAGTTTAGGATGTTACATTGTCATCATGTTGTCATRATACAAAAATATGCAATCTAGTATGTATTTTCTTCTGAATAATTAAGTTATGCCTTTACTACACAGAAAAATAGCACTGTAGATGGTCCTGGTTTTATCTTAGTCTTGCTCTGTTGTGAGCAAATTTGGTCATTTGGGGGTAGTTTTAAAGAGGAGAAACACCAATGATCTCTCATAGTTACAATTAATAGAACTGACTCTAAATGAAATTTATACCTAATTTTAATTTTCACTGGTAATTTTTTTCACTAGAATTTTATTGAAACATATATGACAAATAAAAAACTTTTTGAAATGTTTATCATTCTGTTCTCAGCAAGAGGCTATTGCGATTTTTAGTGACTAGCCTTTGCATAGCAAGGTTTGGAAACTAAATTTGTGAAATGACTGTTTATGTAAAAAAAAATTACTTGATTCTGTATCTTTTTTGAGTTTGTGTTTGTGTATAATTATATACATATAAACATTCTTCTTTATCTTAACTATGAGAGAAATCATAATCATAACATTTTGATCAATTGACTTAATAGCATTTGTTGATGGAGTCCTTTTTTTTTTACATATCTTTATTTTATTTTATTATTTATTTTTATGTGGTGCTGAGGATTGAACCCAGGGCCTCATACATGCTAGGTGAGCACTCTACAGCTGAGCTACAACCCCAGCTCCTTGATGGAGTTCTTTAAATGTTAAAACTGATATTTAATTTTTTATTGCTTTGAAATGATGACCTAATGGCTTGGGACTAGCTTGATTTCATTTTCTAATTGAATAAATTGAGAACAGAATATTAAAATAAAAAACAGGGCCATGTAATTGCAAATTTATGCTACATGTGGAAATATAAATTACATATAAGATTTAAAAAGTTGAACACAACAAAAACTTTCTTTAAATTCTTTCTTAGACTCCACAATTTATGAAGGTAGATGAAGAAGATGAGAAGTTTCCAGGGAGTAACTTTGATGAAGTAATCGATGTTATACAGGTAACAAAGGTTAGAAACCATGAACAATTGTATGTCTACTAGTATTTTCCAAGTGGTTGAATATCTTTTGACTATCAATATTATGTTTCAGTGCTTTGAGAAACTAGCTTTTACTTTTACTTCAAGTTGTTCACTTTTATTTTTTAAAAATTATCAAGTTGTTATTCCATAATACAATGTTGTTTTAATCTGTAGTACCTTTCTGCCTCCATGAAATTTTATGAKTATCTGCTGTTTCTAACCTACATCTTGTCTTGTTTGCTTTTTACTTTTCTTTTTTCTTTCCATTGCTTTTGGTTTCCCTCTTTTGAACCAGTCCTTTTTTCATTTTATGACATTTATCTCTTGATTTCGAAAAGGTCATCTGATAGTTTATACTGAGAAAAAAAGTTGTGAATAGTTTAAAATTTGAGGGAAAATCCCATATGCAGGCAGAGTTATAGAAATAAAGGAACAGAAGTAGGGAAAAAGTAGGAGGAAGTAAAATATAAAAGATGGAAAAAAGGATGATAGATCAAAGAAACTACTTGAATATTATATGTCATTGGATTTTAGGGAAGATATTTTTTGTATTTTTTTCAGAGCTGAGACTAGTGCTATTAATCAAAAAATGAAAGCCTACTTTAAAATATGCAGAGGTATGTGTTATATTAATGCTTTTTGCTCACAGGTATGTCTTCTTATCTGAGCACCATATAAGTGTTTTGGAGACAAGAACCCTATTTATTTTCATATTCCTCATGCCTAATGAAAGAAACAGTAGAACTAGCAAGGGACTTAGAGTTCAAAGACAAGGGTTCCTGCCCTATGTCTACCACTTATTAGCTGTGTACTTCATATGTCTGTAATTGCTTCAAAATAACACGTGAAGGGGGAAACGGGTGGGAGGTTAGTTTATATTACACAGAGTTGGCCATGAGTTGAGAGCTGTTGAAACTGAGAATAGATAAATGTGATTCTGATTATTTATTTATAACAAATAGTATGTGGAAACTATTTTATTTTTTTAAAGATGTGTGACATTTCTCATCATAATCAGTTTAAAAATTCCAGAAATAACTCTTTTGATAATGATGATATGAATAATGTATAAGGTGATCTTACTGCATATTTATTTATTTATAAATATTTTTAGTTGTAGATGGACACAATACCTTTATTTATTTATTTTTATGTGGTGCTGAGGATTAAACCCAGATCCTCACCTGTGAAAGGCAAATGTTTTACCACTGAGCTACAACCCCAGTCCTCTAACTGCATATTTAAATTGTAATTTTTACAAGAGGGAACAGTGATAATTGGGAGCATCAGTTTTTTTATGACAATAAATTCAATATATAAATTTCTACAAGGAACTGTTAAATGTTTTATGAAGTAATAATCAAGTTTTCTAGGTTTTTTTTTTTTGACTATAGGGAATGAACATTGGATTTTTTTATTTTGTTTTTTCTTTTTCTTTGTCTCACCCCCCTGGCCCAAATTGGGTTTTAGAGACACATAATTTTGTAATAAATTTTCTGCAAAGTGATACATATGATTGATATGTTATAATAATGTGCTCCCACATTAGAAATGCGAGTTAATTCACCCAGGTAAGTTCCCTGTCTATACATGGCACTCAGTAAATGTTCATATTCAGATACGTGAACATGATAATTTTGTTTTTATTCTTACCAGGAAGAGGAAAAATGTGATGAAATCCCAGAAAGCTCTGAACCATTACTAGAATTTAACAGAAGTGTTCAAGTTGCTTCTACAAAGTATAATGGTCCTCCATTTCCGCCAGTTATTTCTACTTTTCAGCCCACTACTGAAATTCTGGATAAAGTAATTGAGAGAAAAGAAACGTTGGAAAATAGCTTAATTCAGTGGTGCGTTTACAATGATTTCARTATGAATAGATAGTAGTACATATAAATGGGAAGTATTAAATTTTAGTCAAAAAATCTTCCTTGTCTCTTTTTGTTTATTAAACTTTTCCTTTGCTAATTGATGTAATGCTAAAGGCATAACTAACTGATAGAGGTATTATTTTGGTCCTTGAATATTTACACTTTTGCTGTGGCAAGAGGCTTTTCTGAGTAATTAAACCTTTAAAATGTACATGTTCTTTTATCTAGTGACTCACTTTCAGAAACTTAGCCTAAGGAAATAATTATGGATTTGCTAACAGGCCATATAACACCTAGCATTAGAAACAGGTCACTGTTTTAAGTTTATCACATATTTACAACAGTAATTAGTAATACTGTTATTACATGTAAATATGAAGTGAATTCTTATTATATTGTGTAAAACCTTAAGGAATTTATGGAGCAAAATAAAGCAACTGGATATTAATAGAGTTATTAAACTTAGGTTTAGAAGACTGTGGAGGGACATTGAAAGATACTAATAATTTGCTGGTGTATAAATGATACTTACAATGGAACCCCAGCTCATAAGACCTTATTCAAAAATAAGTGTGCATAGAACAGAAGTTCAAAATGTATATACCAAATTGTTAATTATGTTTATTCCTGAATCTAGAATTATTAAGTGAACATTATAAATTTTTAAAAGCTTTTATATATTTTCTACTACAAATGTCTGTCATTTGTATAATAATAAATTTTTTGTGGGGAGGGTACCAGGGATTGAACTCAGGGGCACTGGACCACTAAGCCACATCCCCAGCCCTATTTTGTATTTTATTTAGAGACAGGGTCTCACTAAGTTGCTTAGTGCCTCACTTTTGCTGAGGCTGGCTTTGAACTTGCGATCCTCCTGTTTCAACCTACTGAGCAGCTGGGGTTCAGGCGTGAGCCACAGTGCCTGTCTTAATAATATTTTCTAAGAAGTTTGTTAGCTACTCTAAAGAAATGTACTAACAGAGGTTTTCTATTCTTTTCCCCTTTCCTTTCCCTTCTTCTTCTTTCGAAAATGACTTTGGAAAAAACCTTTTCTTTCCTTTTTAAGAGGAAAACTACTCTTCATTATAGTCAATGGAAAGGGCAGATGGATATTTTTCTCTAATTTTGATCTGATACAGTTTTATATGTGTATTCTCAGAGTGGAAATCAAACCTAGGTATGCAATGTGCTCAACAATCATTAGGCAAATCTTCAATTTAGGGGTTCTGTTAGCCTTTTTAATTTTTTTATTTTCAGACAGGGTCTCTCTAAGTTTCTTAGGGCCTTGCTAAGTTGCTGGGGTTGTCTTTGAACTTGCAATCCTCCTGTTTGAGCCTCCTGGACTGCTGGCGTGGGCCACCATGCCTGGCTAACATGAAAGATTTTAATTTGATTTCTTTGACTATCTGAATACTCTCCCACAAGGAGATTCTGTTTCATGTGTTTTATCTTGTTTGAAGGCACATTTTTTTCTTCTTTCAGGTGTAACTTTCAAATGACTGCTTTTACATATAATATTTGTGCCCCTGGGTAAAGGTTATTTTTAAGGTTGATATGTGTAACATTTTATATATTTCAATCAAATTTAGAAATCCTTAATTTGTATTTCCCCACCTTCCAGGGTAGAACAAGAAATAATGTCAAGGATTATCTCTGAGCTCCATCCAATCCAGCAGCAGGCCAGACTTAATGCCAGTGTTTCAGTCAGTGAGGCAAGTGAACCAATGACCTCTGACATTGGTAAGTGAAATGGAATTTTTTGTTGTTATTATTAAAGACAGAATCTTTTAGTTCATTGTGATTTATATATCCCAGAGGTCATTTGGCTGACAAAAGCTAAGATTTTGTTGTTGTTGGTGGTGGTTTTTTGTGGTACTGAGTATCAAACCCAGGGTCTTAGGCATGCTAGGCAAGCACTTAACAACTGAGCTCCATCCACAACCCCCCAAAAAAGATGAGGTCTTACTTCAGATCTTACTTCTTAGTTCCTCTCTAGTACTCTAGGGGAGGTCAGTTCTCCCTCATTCCCTTATTTCGTATTGCAGCACTCAGATTATTAAACTACCCCTCTCCTTCCAYCCCCAAACTCTGTTATTCTCCCAGAGTACTTTATATATTTTTTATTATAGTATTTAAAAGATTATATTATGGTTGTTTTACTTATCTTTCTCATTCACTAGACTGTAAATTACTCAGGATTTAAGTTATTTCTCCTAATCTAACCTATTTAAATAACTTAAATTTTTAAGTATTCACTGAATGATTTAATGAGCCTCTTTCTGTGAGGAATCCCATACCATTCTTCTCCTTCTTAACCTTCTTCTTCTCCTCCTTTTCCTCTTCCATATTTTTCTTCTCTTCCTCTTTCTCTTCTCTRTTTCCCTTCCTCTCCTAACACTTGTCCATCAGTTTTTTGAAAGCCTTAAATTCAACAATTCTCAGTGTACAATTAGACAGTTGTTGACACATGTATGCAGCTGTGCATTAGCCACACAGTCATGCTGTAGAAAGGCCTTTTTGACATCTTACAAAGTTCCCTTAATGCTGCTGCCTCCTGCTTCACCTTCCTGATGCTGAGAATTCAAGCTGGGGATGTTTAATCACTGAGTTACATCGCCAGTCAATTTTTAAAAATTTTATTTTGAGAAAGGATCTTGCTGAATTGCCCAAACTTGTRATCCTCCTGCTTTAGCCTYCTGAGTAGCTGGGGTTTCAAGAATGTGCTACCTTTCAAGATCCTTAATGCTACTTTGCAGAAAATTTCTATCCCCCACCTATGCCTGGTGGTCACAAACAACTACAGAGCTGCTTTCTATCACTATTTTTATCTTATCTGGACTTTCATATATAAAAATCATACAGTATGGGTTTTTGTTTGCTGACTTGTTTTATTTGGCTATGCTGAATATGCTTTGGATTCAATCCCCAGTACCACTTATACTATTTCATGTAGTAGTATTATACTCTATGGATATACCAAAATTTGTTAATACACTTACCAGTTGATTGATACTTATAGTTTTTATTTTGGGACTATTATAAATAAAGCTGTTATGAATATTTGCTGACAAATATTGTGTAGACAATTTTTTAATTTTCTTGGTCACATGTTAAATAAATGTATATAAGAAGCTGCTAAATGTTTTCCAAAGCATATGTACTATTTTGTATTATAACAGCAATGTACAAAAGTTTTAATTCTTCCACAATTTCAATAGTACCTGGTATATCAGTGTTTTTATTTTAGCCATTATACATATGAGGAGATATGTCATTGTGTTTTTAAAAATTTACATTTCCCTAATTATACTAGTGACTGAGTAGTATAATTACTAATAATGATTAATGATGTTTCGCAGATTTTCATCTCCATATTTACTTTGGTGAAATATTATTTCAAACCTTTTTTTTTTTTTTTGCAGAGGGTGGGTACTGGGGATTGGACTCAGGAATGCTTAACCACTGAAGCCACATCCCAAGTTATTTTAATATTTTATTTTGAGACAGGGTTTTGCTAAGTTACCTAAGGCCTTGCTACATTGTTGAGGCTGGCTTTGAACTTGTGATCCTCCTGTTTCAGCCTTCTGAGTCCCTTGGATTACAGGTGTATGCTATTGCACCTGGCTTATTTGAAATCTTTTGCTCATTTGTAAATTGGGTTTGTGCCTTCATACATATTATTGGGTTATAATGTTTTTCATTCTAGATGCAAACCATTTGTTTTTGTTTTTGGTACTGGGAATTGAATCCAGAGGTGCTTTACCACCAAGCAACATCTCCAGCCCTTTTTATTTTGAGACAAGGTCTTGCTAAGTTTCTGAGGCCAGCCTTGAACTTGCAATACTTTCTCAGCTTCTTGAGTTGTGGGATTATAGGTATATGCCACCACACCCAGCCAAATACAAGTTCATTATTGTTTATGTGTTTTGCAAATATGTACTTCTAATTTATACCTTGCCTTTTTATTTTCTCAACATTATCTTTTGAAGACAAATGGTTTATTTTGATGAAGTCYAATTTATCAATATTTCTTTTGTAGTTTGTGGCTTTTGGGGGGACATACTGCTTAATTAATCTTTGCCTAAGTAAAAATCATTAAGATTTTTTTTTGTTTTCTTCTAGAAGGTATATGGTTTTAGATTACATTTAGTTCCTTAGTATTTTTTTTTTTACTCAGGGGCTGGGGTGCTGGAATGTGAACACAGGGCTTCTTGCATGCTAAGCAAGTGGTCTACTACTGAGCAACATCCCCAGCTTTTTGTTGTTGTTGTTGTGCTGAGAATGGAACCCAGGGCCTCATGTATGCTAGGCAAACACTACCACTGAGCAGTTGTAGCACTCTTTGTTGCAAAGTTTTTCCTTTTGCTATTGAATTACCTTAATACCTTTGTTGAAAATTAATTGGCTATATGTCTAGATCCATTTGTGAACTTTCATGAATCTACATGTCTTTTACCAATATCACATACTTCATTATTGTAATTTAATAATAAGTTTTGAAACTGGGAAGTATTTTCCAACTTTGTTGCTTTTTTAAATTTTACATTTCTATGTATTATTATCTATACTGTCTTTCTTCTTTTCAGTCTCAGAATAACCTTCTATTCTCCTTTTATAGACTGATCTTCAACTGACCAAATCCTATCCTTAGAGTCTGCATTTACTTTCTCATTGTCCACCTTCTCTTCAGTCCTGATGGGTTGGTTTCCTGGAGTCTCCTTTAAGAAATTTCTTAAATTTTTCACAGGCATTTAGTTGTCAAAGATGCTGCTTTCAAATCCTTATTCTAGTACATGGCTCTAGCCTGGACACTGTTGCCTGCTTCTAATCCTTAAAATGTTCCCTGGGTTTTAGCATAACAACTTTATGCCATTGTTATCTTTTCAGCTTTAAGACCTTCATTTCTTCATTTATTTTCTGCTACTTGAGTAGTTTGTATGCCTTGCCCCTTTTCTATTTTTCCAGTTTCCTCTTTCATTGTCCTGTGTCATTTGATGACTCTTAAGCCATGCATTTAGGCTGTAAACTTAGAGTTCTGCCTATTGATGGATATTCTACTTGATGCTCCATTGGCATACCAAATTTGGCATATCCAAAGTACATGTAATTTTTCTACCTAGACTTGTTCTTTGTTCTCTATTTCTGTTAATGATTACACAGATTTTTCCCAGCACCCAATTTTCAAAGCCTTGGGGTTATTGTTTGTTTCATTCTCTTTTCTTTGCTCTTCCTCAGCCCCAGGGACTCAGCCAAAACCTGCATCTCAGTTTCATASTCTTTATTGTTGCATTTGGTTACTTCTTCCTATTTAATATAGCTCGAATCTGTCCCCCACACTGCTGTATCCCAGATTTTCTCTTATCATTTAATTTTTTTAAAGAAAGAAAAAAAATGATCAACAAAGTTACAAGAAAATTGATATTTCCCTGGATAAAATTTTTTCTTTTCTTCTTCTTTTTTTTAGTTGTAGATAGACACAATACCTTTATTTATTATTTTATGTGGTGCTAAGGATCGAACCCAGTGCCTCACACATGCGAGGCAGGCACTCTACCACWGAGCCACAACCTCAGCCTCTGGATGAAAATCTTTAAGATTTCCAAATTTGGTATTTATATCCTGTTCTCTTTTTTTATAAAACTGTGTTTATTTGCATTTTTTTTTTTAATTTTGCCAGTGTCTAGGGAGGACTTTTTTGGCTTTTTGACATAAATATTCTGATTCTTGGTCATACCAAACAAACAAACAAACAAATGATTATAGAAATTAAAAGGGAGATTTTGTTGAATATGAGTTTTGGATTATTGATATAAAAATAGCCCTGGCTTATGGAAACTATAAATTTTTATTTTTTACCCTCAGCAAGTGATCCTAAGACATCTGTAAATAATCCCATAGATTGCTGTCATTGTTGTACTACTAAAAGAATACTCTTTGGAGAGAGCACATCTCCTTTGGGTTGTACAGATCATCGTTCATGTATTTACACTGTTTAGAAATACCACTTCATGGTCAGTAAAGTCTCGAAAAGCTTTACTTAATTTTGTATACATTCATGTAAATGAAAAGTAAAACCCATTGGAAAATTAATATATCTACAGAACATCTAATAAGTACCTAAACTGCTGTAGACTTTTGAGGAGCCCCAGCCTGTAATGTTGATAACAGGTGTATCTGAAACTAGATGAAGGAAAATTCGCCTCATACTTATTACATCCTTTTGCTTTGGTCAAAATTGGAAATGTTAGTTTGTTTTCAGATGAGGACATTTAATAAGAATGCAGGTCCTTTTTATCATTAAATTCTGCAGTGGCAGGGAAGAGTATAACTAGGTTTTCACCTATATGTTTTCCTTTCCTTCTTGGTTTATTAAGAGAAGATTTTCATTAAGTTATTGTCTTGCTTTCTTTCCTGGTAAGTAGGTGTGTTTGTATTTTCACCTTTACTTCTTCTCCCTTCCTCACAATATATATGCATCTCTAAAATMTTTTAGGAATTAAGTTTTGGATTATAAGTGGTGTCTTGGCCACTTATTCCAAAAGTTTTTTTTTTTTTAATTTTTTTAGTGGAAGGAACAAGCTATGGTGCTCTCCAGCTCTTTGTTGATGCGGGGGTTCCTGTCAATTCGGACATGATTAGCCATTTTGTGAATGAAGCTTTGGCTGAGACCATTGCTGTCTTGCTGGGTGACAGAGAAACAAAGAAGCAAGATCCTGTGGCTACAAGTGTTTCTGGTGATGTTTTATCAAAGGAAACATGTTTTCCGGTAGGAGTGCCTCTGCTTTCATGATTAAAAGAGTTCTGTGGAGTTTTTTTTTTAATATATTATTAAAGAATGATAAAATAATAGATGAATTTTAAACTGCATGAGATAATTGTGTATGGCAGAAATTTTATTTCTTGTTGCTATGACTAAAGTGTAATATTTTTCCTAGCATTTTATTTTAAAAACTTAAATCTAGAAAAAAGATGAGAGTATAATACAATGGACATTTATAAACCCTTTACCTATATTTCACAATTGATAGTATTTTGGCACACTTAAAAAATAACTCTATAACCTAGACTTAATTGACATATATAGAATATACCACCCAACATCAAGCAGTTACACTTTTTTCTCAGCAGCACATGGATCCTTCTCAAAAATAGATCATATATTATGTCACAGGGCAACTCTTAGACAATATAAAGGAGTAGAAATAATACCATGCATCTTATCTGATCATAATGGAATGAAACTGAAAAT